ACTCTGGGGTTGACCCTTTCTTCAGACTCTGGTTGAGGTGGTGGAAGATGATGACCTATGAGAATATCATTTGGTGTGATAGGTGGACCTTCCCAGATGTCGTTAGAACTTGGATACAAAGGACGTCCATTGATGATGTAGGTTGTCTCTGACAGAAATGTTCTCCATTGCTCCTCGGTAAAAGATTGACTTTTGCAGGTAGCAGCGAGACTTTGTCTGACAGATTTGATGAGGGTTTCCACGACACCATTTTGATGGCTTGCGTGAGGTATATTCCATAGCCATTTGAATTCACAGCAGAAATCCTCGGACAGAACACTTTGAATCTTCGGAATGTTCCAGTTCCGCATAGTTTCCTTTAAGTAAGCTTGTGTACCAACAAAGTTTGTACCACAGTCCGACCAACAAACGTTCGGGTGACCACGCAAGCTCGCGAAACGACGGAACGCCATCAGGAAAGCATCAGATGTTTTGTCGCTAACAAGTTCTAAGTGAACTTACTTACGACCTGGGCTTCTTTCAGAGTCTTCCGATTGAGCTTAATATGCATGGGTCCAAACATATCAATGGCGGTGTTGGAAAAGGGAGGAAAACCAGCTGCCACTCGAAAAGTCGGTATCTGCCCCATTAGCAGGTCTAGCGGTTTCTTGCGAAGTTTCCTGCAGGTGATACACTTTGCGGTGAGAGCTTTGGCCATGCTGCAGAGCCCCATGATCCAGTACTTTCTTCTGGCTTCATGAATTAAGCTCTTGTAGCCACAATGTGCACGCTTGATGTGCAGATGCTGCAGCAGCAGCTTGACAAGTAGAAGGTCGCGTGGTAGGATTATGGGGTTTCTCATTTCTTGAGGCAACGATCTGGCATCTTCGAGTCGTCCATGAGCTCGAATTAGACCATCTTCCCCCAGACTTGGAATCAACTTCTTGTCAATGACGTCTGGATCTAAGTGTAGTTGGCTCCACTTGAAAAGTTGATTCTCCGACTCTTTCAATTCTTGAACGGTGATAGGGCCTGTTTTTGCGTTCTTCTTTCTAACATTTTGGGCGAAACGGTGAACATATGCAAGTGTTCTCCGTATCTTTGGAAATGTTGAGCAGGACTTCAGTAACTGCTGAAAAATTGGGTTATCTTCTGCTAATTTGGTGTTAACTTCTGTTATGTCTGCTTCATGTTTCATAGCGTTAACATCTGCGATGGTTTTTTCCTGTTTCGGCGAAGTGTCAGCCTTCTCCGGGGTTTTCATTTCCTTTAAGACTTCATCCTCCTCTACATGGATACTTTGGTCTTCAGCTCGAAAACTGGGCCATTTGGCTTCGGGAAATTGGAGGAAAGANACTCGAAAACCTTCAATCAGAGGAATTTTGTTCCTTTTGATATGCGGCAAATTTCAAAGCAGTTTGAAGAAAATCAGCCTTGATTTTATCTCCAAGTTTCCTGGTTGTTAGCAATAATCCCTCGTCGGTGTCAGAACTATCATCGACCAGTTTGTCCATAATGGTTTCTTGCTGCTTTTTGATGAGCCTGTATCTTGTCTCTACTTGATGGAATGCGGCTTCAAGTGTTTGCAATTCTGGCTTTACCGAGAAAATTATTTCAAATTCTTCTATTAACTCGTAGAGAATTCTTGCAGCATTTTCCATCTTCCCTACGAGGGTTTTGACGTCTACTTTAGGCGGCATTTTAAGCAGAATTCAATTTATTCAATATTTAACTCCAGCCTCGTTTTCATACGGTTTTATCACCAGCGAGTTCACGGTCCTTATCTGATAATCCAGCAATGAAGATGAAAATGAAATGAAAATGTCAAACAAATCAGATATTCTCTCTTGTCGTTAGCGGAGACAGTTCAGCTTAATCTTGACGAAGATCCGGTGTAATTCGAGGGCATGCACGACGATTTCGTGTAATCTGTGACGGCTAAATTGTCAGTCCTGATGCGAAGTTCGGCGGTCGTCGATGATTTCGCAACTCGGCGTAATCTTCTATGACAAATTTTGACTGATTCGCTCTCATGATTGAAGGGCTACTTATTTTGAAGATTAGGCCAGGGATCAACGATGTCAGATTTTATTTGTACTAATGTAAGATACGGTTCTTTACATCCATGGTAATCGTGATCGTTACGTCGTAGTCAACTGAAATTAAATAATTTAGGGACACATTATTATTACAATATTCTTAATCGAAATGATAAACGAAATGATAAACTTACAATTTGTGTTTCTCCGTAATCGGATCATTTGATGTTTGCGTTGACCGTTGATCACTAGCTTCGAATGAATCTTACAACATAAATTGTTCCATTAGACTACACGTCACATGACCCGACTTTTCCCGCCACGCGTAGTCGAGGCGAATTTGTAATTACGATAATTTATTCTATTTCTTTCTACGCGCTTCACTGAACATGCAAATCAAAATAATTGTTAGATCCAGGATTGTGAATATGGACAGTTTTAGGAAGGAAATGGAGAAATGTAAATATTGCCATAAAGGTAAAGGTTTTTTTCATACAAACAAGACATGGAAAAAACGTGGATGAGACCTTATTTTAATTCAACCACAGACGGTATAATTAAAATAAAATATTTATCCTATACTTGTGAAAAAAGATTGTTTTTATTTCCCAAGATAAACTACAAGTTACAACTAAGAAGTGAACGCTACCTCCCAATGGTTCAGGATTGCAAATTTAATTTTTGTCCATATTAAACGGAAAGATGGAAATTCACGGTTATGACAGCGACATAAAATAATAATTAAGCCAAAAGCCGAGTTAAGATTATAACTGAAGCATACAGCCCATAGCAAGATGACATCATTAATATCGTATGATGCACGATCCTCGCAGTAGAGAGCGCTATTTATGCAATAGCAAAAATCAGACCTGAAAAAAATCAGGCCTGTGCGGGAATCGAACCACTGACCTCTGCGATACTAGTGCAACGCTCTACCAATTGAGCCAACAAGCCAACTGAGAGCAGGCGGTTCAGTTGATTTTCGCTATTGCATAGATAACGCTCTTTACTGCGAGGATCGTGCATCATCCGTATCTACAACCGCAGTTCAAAATATATGAACTTCATATATTCCTCTTATCATTAATATCATAGGTGACAAGTTACTCCTTAATTTTGGCGCGAAATTTCAGCGTTAATTTTTAATTTCACATGTGAAATTACAAAATTGCCATGGTAACATCTCTTGTATCTCGATGAGAGTCAAGATGGCGACGAGATTTAAGACGGCGACCCTTGAAGAAGTTACGAAATTAAAATAAGCGGCAAGCGGCTGAAGATTATTAACAGGCACCAGGAATTCAAAAGGTATTTTTATCACGAAACCCGCGTGTCTTCGCTAAAACTGGTACCGTAGCCCTGCGTGCAGTCGCGCTAGTTTGCTGACGAGATTGACACATGATGTGAATATCAGACTTACCCTTGGAGCTTGGAATACTGGCAGAGGCCATACACATGTAAATTCCCTTTTGTCCTGTTTAGATATTTCAACAGTTAACTATGTAAAGTTCAAGGCCAAAGAAAGAGAGATTGGAAAAGCGTTAGAAAGTATAGCAAATGAGAGTTGTCTTGAGAGTTGCTGCAAGGAAAGGGAGATGGTAATAACAGCTGGTGCTAAACGTGATTCTGATTATTTAGTTGGGGTGATGTTTTGGTATGATATGGGAAAGCAGAAAAGGGGAAAGGCCCATAATTCACTAACAGGTCATGGGGCAGTACTTGGAGTTAAAACTGGGAAAGATTTTACAACCAGAAATAAAACCTGCAGAACCTGTGCTCCATCCAGAAAACGAGATAAGCCTACATCACATGACTGCTGAAAAAACCATTCTGGATCTGTAAAGATTATGGAGTCAGGTGTAGCCAGTCAACTATTTCAATGTGCTCCTGGCCAGAGGGATTAAGTATGACCAGTACATTGGTGATGATGATTCCACAGCTTTTTCCTACTTCAAAACGAATGTTCCCTATGGCCTTGAAAAAAATTTTAACATCAAGCACTACAACTTAAGCCAGCGTCAAATAATTCCAGATTCATCTGTTGTCTCACAAAAAGTTGTTCATTATTCTAGTCAAGTGCTTTTCCTACTGTGTTCACCAGCACAAAAACAAAACCGCAGCAATTCAATGCATTGTGCCACATGCCTTTGGTGACCACAAAAAGTGCAATCCTTCACGGTGTAGAGATAAACAAAGCTAAACAAAATATATCCATCATGAATTACCCCCTGGGAAGGATTTGCATGGGAGCAGCCTTCAACAGGCATTGCATGATCTTTTCTCAGAGTACGTCTCCCCAGTAGTTGTCACAAAGCTAGCCTTTTCCTAGACTCACGACAAAATGAGTCTCTAAATGGAACCATTGGCTCCATAAACCTGAAAGGCAGACTCTATGGAGGAAGCAAGAGCAGTGATCTTAGAACAGCCTGTGGAGTCGCTCAGCACAATGAAGGCCACAAATTTGTGTGCAAAGTATTAATTAGAACTGGAATAAACCCTGGGCCCAACTGCGCAAGCTACAAGAAACCTAAAATAAGATAGCAACAACTAACAAACAAAGAAAATCTACTAAAAAATTCAAAGTTAGGAGAGGACGGCTTCACTTTAACAGATTTCAAGGGACTGTCAAAAATGAAAACAGGGAGGGATTGAGCTACAAATATGACATCGGCCTTAACCTTGGTCCCAAGGTTTATGGACACATCAGTGACTGCGAAATTCTGCAGAAAGTAAACAAGAACACTGGCAAAACTGAACCAAAGGAATATTAACAACTGATACCCCCCTCCGCTATCAGGCCCCTATTAGCAGAAATACTCTTTGATCCCCAGAAAACCTACAAACTCATCTTGTTTGAAACTGAAACAAGTTCAACGACAAAAAGTACTGAACATCTCCAACTTTCACCCATTACCGATGATGGAAATCAATCATTCTCACAATATAATCTTCTTAAGCACTCCATAACCAGTTCTGCAACTGCTGTTCATTATATTACTGTAAGGTTTTCTTGGGATTAAATAATTTTATGCAAATCTAGAAAGCTAGTCCCAGCTAAGCTCCTACAAACCTGCCTTCAATCATTTCTGCAATTTTTAGATGTTTGTGCTTCAAATTTCGTCGAATACTTTGTCCTCTTAGGTCCCAACGCTTCTATTTTTGACACGCCAAGACTTCTCAATGCAGGCCCAACCTTTACGTGTCCTTTAACCAGAATCAAAATGCTATCTGCCGATAGTCTACCCTTACTGAGGGCCCTCCGGAGACAGCCTAACAGCCATCTGAAATCAGCGACAAACAAATTGAGTGACGTTTATGAAACCCTGTTTTCTGCTAAGGTTAAAGCTCGTGACGCTCTTAAGGACGACAGAGCCTTTAGAATATTTACTTTCACTGGTCCTCTGCAAATCAATGAACAAGCGGTCACCCATGGTGAATGTGTATCGGCGAATGAGGCCTTCGATGAGGCTATATTCTTAGAGCGACGTATTGAGACACCATCCAGAGTTTGATGGAAAGCTTAATCTTTTCTCAAGCATTGTCAAGAAGCTGGCAGATGCTGGTCTTTGTTATCGTAGATTTAAACTTACAATCTCTGTACGAGAAATTCAACACCAATGGCTTGTATGGTATACTTGCATTGGCGCCAACAGCAAAATTCACTGTCGCCATAAATCGAGTTCCGCAAGAGTTACCTCAAACAAGAGAATTCTCTCCGAAATACTGTCACACGTCCTACGTTCGTAACGGGAAGCAGTCTGACACTCAAAAGATAATTTTTTTCAGGAATGTGTAAAATCACAAAAGAGGTCAAGTCAATTTTCAGAACGAACGCTTTTTCTTACGGGTTGCTTTTCCCTTCCCTGAAGACATCGTTTGATCACGCGGACGCGGACTCGTCCTCGAGAGTATGAGCCGCTGAGTCAGCTGTATCATTTAAAACGCGTGACCGACGGTAAAAGTGTGAGCTAAAATTGCGAAAACCGGAAATAAAGCTTGCTAAGTTGATGAGCTAGTATCTCGAAAATTAGCGCGGTGACCTACCCTGATTTTCTGATAACAAATTACTTTCTCCATTACGCATTGCTGAAGACAATAAAAATAAAAAAGTTATTTAATAAAAGTTTTTTTACGTTTTAAAACAGCATTTTCCTAAATAACTCAAGTTGTACCTGATAGATTTTTTTTATATCACGTGTACAGTTAGAGAATGTGATGATGTTTA